ATAAAAAATTATGAAAGCCTTTCCTGCAGCCTTGCCCACCACCCAGCAATGCCACCTCCGATCGGCGAAAAAATGTCATTTTATAAAAAAAAACTGACATTATTCTTTGAAAATGCCATAAAGGTGGCATTTTTCTCTTTGAAAATTACATTTTTTTTCGAAAACTACCATCAAGATGGCATTTCTGACAAATGTTGACATTTTTTCCGATGATCAGAGGTGGTGGGGTGGTGGAGAGAGGTTGTTGAAGCAGCGGCAGAGGCCTGCACATTTTCTTATTTTTTTTCATTTTTTATTATTTTATTTTTTAAGTGTTTTATTTAATATTTTTAATAAATTTTTTATTTTTATTAATTTTATTTAATATGGAGTATATTTTAGTTAATACTACATATGTATTTTCGTGTTTGTTGTTTTTTTTACCTTTTATTATTTATTAATTAATGTTATTTCTTTTATGTTTTAATTATTAATGAAAGTGGATGCGGATGGGGCTTGGAGCTTGGGTAAGGGGCCTAAGGCCATATTTGTCCAAACACTAAAATTGCTCCAATTAAAAACATGGTACTCCTATTTTTGCATTTTGCATATGTTTTACTCCTAGTTAGGAATTCACACTTATTTCTACCGGTACTTTAAGGCATCTATTGCGTAGATTGGTCTGTTCGAATTATTTTTTTATTCGTGTTAAGATTAATTGAACATGTATCATGCTCATATAAACTAAAATTCTGATAGTTTGATCGCAACATATTAATCAAATATGAAATGTTAATCTTGTTCGACTTCTACTAAAACAACATTCAGTGAAAAAGTATTTGGCTAATTGTTCTTATCGCAACATAAACATCAACCCAGATGGATGAGTTGCTCTAGCAAGAATCTTGAATACAAATTGGATGATACACAACCATACAAATAAATTCTTATTTAGAAGATTAGTTATAAATTTATAATGATATGTACATTTGAAATGACGATGAAGAAGAGCAGCGAGAAAGAACCTTAAAGTCATTGCAACTTAGCAGAGTTTCTCAAAGAAGACAATTAGTGTTGTTGCTTTCTCTTCAGATTTAAGAATGGTCCTATTTCTTTCATCCAAGACTCGCAAGTAATATTTTTTATCATTTTTTCTTTTAAATACATTTATTATTCATTCATCAAAGGGTTTAATGATTTAAAAAAATCAATTGGACTGAACCATTCAAGAACCAGGGCCGACGAATCCACGACCGATACCACCAGCCACCAGGTGCAGTCCTAGTTCTCCCCTAACCGTGCATCCCAAAGCTTCTCTCAGGTATCTCCTTCACCATCTACTCTAAATTCTAAAACGTACGACTGGTACGAGTACATCTAGGGTTGGATTCGGTTCGGGCCACCCGGCATGTGACCCGGCCCTGCCCGGTACTGTGTGGGCCCGGGACCAGCCCGGTCGGGCGGTCCGGGACCGGGTATGGACCCGAACCGGTGGGAAGGGGCGGGGCGGCGGGCTCGGTGCTGGATTAATGTGACCCGGCCCCGGGTCCGGTCTTATTTTAAAAAAAAAAAAAATTGTTTGGGCTCTTGGGCTACTAGCCGTTGGGGGTGGGGCTGGGGACAACCCAAACGGCTATATAGCCGTTGGGTGGGGTAAAGGGGGGGGGGGTCCGGGGGGGTTGGGTGGTGGGGGGGTGATGGGGGGTGGGGGTAAAAAAACCTATAAATACTCCTAATCTTAAACATTTTTTCATATCTCTTCTCCAATTCTTCCTAAATCCTATTCTTAACTCTCTACTCTCTAATTCTCTTATTCTCCATTCTCCAATATATTATATTTATTATTTATAGTTTATATTAATTATCTACTTATATAAACTATAAATAGATATAAATAGTATTATATTACTTATATTTGTTATCTAATTATATATTACTTATATATTTATTATATCTATTAATATAGTTGGAATTATATCTAATTAATTTGAAGTCATTCTATTACTCCCATCTGAAAGACCGAAAGTCCGAAAGAGGTACGAAATTATTCTATTATTTACACTTGTTTAATTACTAGTTAATTTGCTACATTTGACTCTTGTTTAATAGTTAGATAAATAGTTAATTAGTTTTTTACAATTTTTTATTAATTGCTACATTTGACTCTAGTTTAAAAAATATGTTGTACACAAAACACCTTAATTCACTACTTAATTTGCTATAACTCGAATTAATAGTTAGATAAATAGTTAATTAGTTTTTTACAATTTTTTATTAATTGCTACATTTGACTCTAGTTTAAAAAATATGTTGTACACAAAACTAGTTAATTCACTACTTAATTTGCTATAACTCGAATTAATAGTTAGATAAATAGTTAATTAGTTTTTTACAATTTTTTATTAATTGCTACATTTGACTCTAGTTTAAAAAATATGTTGTACACAAAACACCTTAATTCACTACTTGTTTTTCGTGATTATGCACAAACTTGTTTAAATCCGCAATATAGAGGTTATAGTCGCAAAACGGTTAAGAAAGAAATTTCAAGGCTTTATGGTGCGGAAAAGGTAAGGTTACAAAATTATTTTGCAAACTTTGATGGACGTGTTACTTTATGTTCTGACATATGGGAGGATACTTATCATAATTTACATTATTTGGGTCTGACTGTACATTATATTGATAATGATTGGCATAAGCATAAACGTGTTCTTGCTTTCCGTGAATTTAATGATCGTCACACCGCTGAACATATTTATATTTTGATTGAACGTATTTTAATTGAGTATAATTTAATTGATAAGGTGTTTGCTATTGGTTTTGATAATGCTACTAATAATACTGCTGCTATTCCTAGATTGCGTGAATTGTGTGGTTCAACTTCTTTGATGGGTAGATTTTTTCATCAACGATGTGCATGTCATGTTCTAAATTTATGTGTGCAAGATGGTCTAAAAGCGTAGGGAGCATCGTTGGAGGTAGTCAAGGGGGGGATTAGACGTATTTGGGGTAATGGACATCTTAGGAAAAAATGGCATGATTATTTGATAGAAAGAGGTGAGAGATATGTGGCTTTTCCAAAAGATTTGTCTATTCGTTGGAATAGTACCTATAAGTTAATCGGAGTTCTTCTTAGATATAAACAACATTTTCCTGCTTTTATGAAACAATATGATAACTATATTATAAACTCGGCTGAGATCGACACCTGTGAAAAAATTTGTAATGCTTTGATATATTTTAATAATGCAACTGAAACTTTTAGTCATGTTTATAAACCTACCTCAAACCTATTTATTCGTGAAGCTGTTAATCTCGCCGGTGCTTTTTCAAATTTTGAGAATGCTGATTATGTGAGTTATTTTGCTGGTTTTATGAAGGAAAAGTTTTTAAAATATTATTCACATATTCTGCATATTTATGGTATTGCATTTGTTCTCGATCCTCGTTTTAGACTTGGTTCTTTAGAAGAATGTTTGAATTATTATTATTCTGCTTTTTTGGTCCATTGCCAATGTATGAGGACAACCCAATTGATCCGAAAAAAGAATACAATGAGGTTAGTGATATATTTTATGCATTATTCAATGAGTTTTATGCACAATATGGCAATGCGCCCTCTCCCCCGATACAAACATCATCTAAAGGAAAATCAATTTTCAAATCTACGTTTGCCAATCTTATTAAAAAAACAAAATCAACTCCCGCTACACAACAAAACACAATTAATGAGATTTCTTTGTATTTAACTTATGATGTTGATTTTGAAGAAGATGATGATTTTGACGTACTAAACTGGTGGAAGGGAAAAGAAAGAATGTTCCCGGTTTTAGCAAAGATGGCTAAGCAAGTGCTATCAATGCCGGTTTCAACGGTTGCCGTGGAACAAGAATTTAGTTCGGCCGGCAATGTTCTAACACAAACCAGAACGAGGTTGAGCGCTGAATCTCTTGAGATGCTTATATGCTACCACGATTGGTTGAAAGCAGCACGTAGAGCTCAAAAAATTGACATCACTCCATCCCAACACTTTATGGATGAATCTACAACAGAGGGTGGCTCTACCTATGCCGGAGATTCCGATTAAAAATAATTATAGTTCCTATTTAATTTTCAAATGTAGTTCCTATTCCATTTCAAATAAATGCACTTGAAGTTTGTTTTTTAATACTTGTATAAAACTATAAAGTATAAAATATAAATTAAAAAAATAAATATTTAACCGGCCCGGCCCGGCGGGTGGCCCAACCCGTGACCCGGGCGGGTGGCCCGGCCCGAACCGGACCCGTCCAACCCTCGGGCCGGTCCCGGGCCCATGTGATACGAACCGGCGGCCCGACCGGGCCTAGGCCCGACCCGGCCCGAGTCCATCCCTAAGTACATCGTGTAAATCCTCCCATTTGATGATTTGGACATGCAGAATTTGGATTAAAATGCTCCCTCATTTTGGCTTGGACTCATGCCGGGTCGAGCCTGAGCCAGGCCGCCGGTTCCGTATCCATAGGCCCGAGACCGGCCCGGGTCTTGACCATTCAAATTTTTTTTAAACTTCTATTTTAATTGAGGATTTTCCTTAAATATTATTGAAATATAACTCATGGAATAAAATATTACTATAGTTACTATGTGTAGTCAGTATAGGATAGAATTGAACGCAATCATGGTAACTAAAGTTGCTACGGTTCTATTTTTTTTTTTGGCTTTTCCTAGTTAACCCCCAACCCTCCCCCTCACCCCCAAACCAACCCTAACCACCTCAAATGGCCCAAAATACCCAGCCCAACCCAAAAACTTAAAAAAAATCAAAAAAAAAAAATTGGCCCGGGCCCGAGCCGCCAATTTTTGAAGGGCCCGAGCCCGGACCGCCATCCCACCGGGCCGGGTGGCCCGAACCGGCCAACCAACCGGTTCACCGGGCCGGTCCAGGCCCGCACAGTAGCGGGTCGGTCCGGTTCCGGGCCGGTTGGCCCGGCCCAAGTCCACCCCTATAGTCACTATAGGATAGAATAACAATTACGGAGTAATAAATTATTTGAAGTATCTTTGATATAAACATAGTTTTACAGATCAAATTCTTTCACCGGCATGCAATCCAAGATTGCTGTGTTTGGTCCCACTGAAGATGAGAGGGATCGCAACAAGATTGCTGTATTTGATTGCAAGTCTAAACAAATATCATGGTGCAACATAGTAATTTTCACAAGATGGTGAATATCAAAGTGCTTGAAATTTGTGGGTTATTACGTAAAAACTACACAGGAAACTGATAAATGGAAAACACAGAACACTGGATAATTGAGCAAGATTAAAACTGATCTGCTTGGTGACAATGACAGAAGTTCCATTCTAGTACCGCATTCCTCGATCATAAGATTCGAAAGTGGCATCTGCAAATATTAACATCATCATAACTTATTTGAGTGCAATAATAAAGATGACTGAATAGGCATAAAAGAACGTTTGGTAATGTATCATTTGGCTGAAATAACCGACTCTGATGAATTTTCTAGTTTCACTTGCTTACCCTCAGTTGCACCTTTCTTTTACTCTCACCACTTTCACCTTTCGTTTGATTCACATCAGAGTCTCACCGTACCTTTGACCCTCAATTTCAGTTTTCCTTTGATACGTCAATTAAGGGGAAAAAGTTGGGTGACATCCATTTCAGCCAAATAAGTAACTGAAAAGCTAGTTATTCACTGACAAGTCAGATCTGGCTACCAAACTGGCCTGGAATCCCCAACAACTCCCAGAAAATGGAGAACACTTGTTACCAAAAAGAACGACTTGTGAGAGGATAGGTAAGAGGAATGAGCATACCCTAGTAACCCACGCCCAAGCCATGGCCGAGGCATAACTGATAAGTTAACCGATAAGCCTTGTCTCAAAACCACCACTGTTATTGCACGCCCCTGATTTTTCTGTGATTCAGCTGCAAGCCTTTGCAACAAGTTGTCACCATTCTCGACGTTACCAAATTTTACAACTTGGTCCCCAAGTTGTAGTCCATCTTCTGCTGCCGGGGATGCCTCTGTAATCTCATCAATTAGTGCAAAAGGTCTGCTTACAACCATATCAACGTCCATAGCACTTATGCTGGTACTAGTCGTGCCAATAAAATTAGGTGTCACATTTGAACCTGCAGCATCCTCATGGATATGAAAGTTAATAGTTAAACTGCATTAAGAGGAGCTACCCTCCAATTTAATTGGGGGGGGGGGGGGGGGGGGGGGGGGTTGAAGAAGTGTTGGCTCCCTCCCCTTAATATGCCCGCCTCAGCGCTCAAACCAAACTCACCCTTACTGCAAGTTGGTTCAGGACTTAAAGAGTACATCTAAGCTACGCAAATTATACATACAATTAAATTGCAATACCTACCAAAAGAACTAGTAGCATTAGTTTGGAGAGACTTGAAAGAGGATTTGATAACAAGAGGAAAAAAGACAGGATATCAACATATCATATATTCTGATTTATTCAATAGGTTAGTAAATGTATTGTACAATATCGGCATATTTCCCTTCTTATTTAGTTGCAATACTTTTGAATTTCTCGTTGTCAATTCAACTCTATGACCATTAATATATTTAACGGGCTATTTGTAAAAATTATAAATAGAACATCATCAGAAAGTTCACTTCAAGACAATTCTTTTAATACTTTTCATTGTAATTTTTTTAAAACCTTAATAAATAAAATTTGGACAAAGTAGTGTACACGAATAGTGTAAAAGTCAAAGATACGGACATACTAAACAAGGATGTTCTTAGTAGACTAGCAAGCACAATGAAAACAAACAGGGAAAAGATGCGGACATACTAAACATGCTAAACAAGGCAAAAACTCAGTAAACATAGGCAGTGGGCACCCATGAACTAACAAAAGAATCATCTTTCCCATGTAGATTTCTTTCTACTTTATTGTTACTGTAATAGGAAACTCGACTCATTGATTCTTTCCATTAGTTAAATCAACAATTGAATCTAATTAAAGGTATAGTAATTAATTATTTATAGCAATTCTGCTGTAACAAAATTTAAAAGTAGTATCCTGATTAAATGTGATTCTTTTTTATTCATTACGGATGGAGGAAGTACGTAATTAGTAATTGCAGAATACACCATCTATAAGAGAAAATAATGTTCTCCTACTGAACATCATTACAGCACTGAAAAAAGGGATCCATGACCACGAAGAATGGCAAATACCTGAATCTTGGGTAGTAGAAGGTGTGGAAGAAAGTCTAGATGAGTGCAGAACTTGGATATACTTTTCCATTTTTTCTGTTAAATCCTTGTGATCATTCCGCAGCTCTGTAGATGATAGATGCACACTGATCACAACTCCATCATAATTAAAAAATCAAAAAACAGAACATCAAACTTATAGAGTTATAGGTCTACAAACATTACAAAAATCTTTGCAAATAATTGTTATGGAAGTTACCAGCAAGCCTATGCCGATCAGCACGCACCGCAGGAATGTCAATGTCTGCTCTCGGGAAACCCTAAAATTAGATGGAAAACAAAAGAACCACTTCAAATCAAAACTCAACATGTTTGAAATCAAAGCCGCTCTTAAGCAACAGAGCAGCCTTAAGAATTAAAAGCATCATATAAGATATGCACGGAGAAAAGGTGGAATTACCTCTGAATCGGTAAGATTTCCGGAGAGACCAGGTCCGTCAGGGCAGCAGAGGCGCTGAATAATGGCATTCATCTCAAGCTCCACACTACTCCTTTGCTCCATCAGCTTTATCGCCTCGGATTTAATGTTCGTGCCTACCATTTCCCTTGATATTTCTCTACAACCTTTCACTAGGGCTTTGCTGCTTCCCCATGACAGGGTTTATGTTCCAGACAGTAGGTGTCAAAAAATAAGAACAATCATGGATATATATTTTCTTTTTTTCCAAGTCATGGGAAAATGTTAATGAAATATAGATGTGGGCGTGGTCGGTTAACTGGGTTTCTATTAACCAACTATCGGTTAACCGAGAAATCGGTTACTATACTTTTTATACAAATACCCCTACCATAACTTCGGTTAACCGGCCCGGTTAACCAAAGCTTCAGTTAACCACAAATTGGTTAACCAAAAACACCAAAAAAAACCTAAAGATAATAGACTTGCCAAATCAATATCTAGTACTAGTATACTATAAATATAACTGAATAAGCTGACAGAGACACATTACAAACTCCAGCAAATATATACGGAATATTAAATTTGAGTACCTGTTAAGTTAGATAAGCAAGATTCTTCTTTTTACTTGGTTCTGTTGAGAGTAATCATAATGTATATAGTATCAAATTTATGTGAATACATGAGAATTCATGAAATCCTAATACTAATATACAATAAAATTTAGATCTTTCCAGCTAGGCAAGCTGTTTCATAGCTAGGGCTAGGCAGATTTTATTGAATGAATTCAAAAAATCCATTTTAGAATCAAGGTGAAAAACAGAATACTGAATACGTTCGCTGCATTTGAGTATTCTACTCCTTACTGTTTTTTGTTGGGCACCTACCCGCTGCACCATGTGCGAACATAGCTAGTAACAAAATATATAACGAAGCATCGATTATGAGCTCTCTGTTCATAATAAAATAAAACATGTCTACTCTAGGCGGCGACGCAGCGTGTGTTGTTTCGATTTGCATATCAATACCAGATTACCAGTTTCCATAAAATTGAAATATTGCCGAGGATGAGTATTTTACCGGATCGAAGGAGAGCTTAGGAAATCAAGAGAGCTTCTTCGAGTAAGAGACAGGGCGGGCAGTTCCGTGTGAGACAGTAGACAGGCTAAAAGTAAAAACCTACGTTTAAGAAACCATATACTCCGTAATATACGAGTACTAAATAAATAATTGTATACGTAGTACAAAATTAAAATAAAATTATTACATAATAATTAACTGACGATGACACTTGCTAACCATTTAAAAGTTAATACAGTCACATAATACTTCAAAATATCATTTTGATTTTATTAAAATATATAATGATACTTCGTATTTGTTATTTTTATTCTACATTTATTATATGATTTAACATGATTTTTATTTTTCAACGAATAAGTACTAATATTGAAATTGAGATTTTATTGGTTAAAAATGATTTAAAATTTGGAAAAATAAAACCTTTTTTTGAAAAAACAACCAAAATTCGGGGTTTTCCAGGTTTGTTGAGTTTTTCGGGTCGAGTCTAGACAAGGTTTTTAGGGGTCGGCCGAATTTTTCCGATTTGTAACCACTTCCGAATTTTGAACTAATCGAATCGGATTTTGGTCGAGATCTGGGGTTCCGAATAGATCCAGCCATTCCAGGTAGATTTTTTAGACATAGCTAAAAACAACTAAGCTATGGGCCATAGACTCGTTCCCACTTCCCACCACGAGGAAGGTGAGGGACTGAGGGTTGGGTTTCGACTTTCGAGTTGTGACAACCCTTGGTAAATATACAAAGCATGTATGATTTGAAATAAAGAGATTTCTCAAAATATGAGCAAATAATTTTGGAATTCCTAAATACATTATCATGCTTCAATTTTATGAATAAGAGTAATTACTAGTATATGATAGAAAAATCTGTAATCGTACTTAAAACGGGAAAGTCGTTGTTTTTTACGATTGACCTCAACAATAAAAAACAATTGAAAATTTATTACACCGTGGAAAAAATACTTTTTGTTAATTATATGTTTGTGTCTATATTTCTATTTTCTCCCATCATCACGCGTCGTTAACACTTTTGCATTGGAGATACTCTTAGATATGCCAGTATAATGCCTTAAGTGGCAATATTTTTCAAGTGTAATACTCTTTCCATCCCGCTAAGAATGTTTCATTTACTTTTTCGTTTTGTCCCACTAATATTGTCACATACCAAATTTGGTAAAGTTTGTGGTTCTAAATCATTCTTACTTTATTCTTACTTTATCAATTCAATATCAACCGTATAAACCACTTTTTATTGATTTGTGTGTCACTCCCTCTTGTCTCATTGTTAGTGGAATGGAGGGAGTAGTAATTACTCCAGTTTAGATAATACAACTATAATGCTCCTATTTTGAAATTCCAACACGCTCTTACTCCTATTTAATACAATTTCATTAAAGATTATTATTTTTCATTAAAGATTGTTTAAGTATTATGATTGTAGTTTTTTTACAAATGTAAATTTAATATGGTGCTAATTGCATAACTTAAGTTCCCTAAACATTAAGGATTATTCAAGCCTCATTTTTTAAAGGTTTTAGCTTAAATAAGACTTTAGTCTCTGCAAATATGAGGTACCTTGTTTTAGATCTATGTGATGGTGCCAGATAGAGATAAAAGTCTAGAGGGGGTGAATAGAATTTTAAAGCTTTTTCAACTTTAAAAACTTTTCCCTAGTAGATGGGATGATCTATAATCTTTTGGGAGATTGTAGATACACAACGGAAATCTTGACCTCTAAATAAACAGTGTATACCAACTTTCTGTGTTTGAGTGGGGTTTGGACTTATTTAGATGAGCAGTTGATTGGGCAGCTGAGTGAACTGCAGGGAACTGCTGAGTCAGCTGCTACGGAAAGATGAAAGTACGAGGAAGTTGATTAGAGAATCTTACTCAGAATGATGAGAGCTTTCTGGAAATGTACTGAGCTGAGTTGAAGTGAAGGTTTATGAGAGCAGTGGTCTGAGTAGTTGAGTCACCAGGGAACTGCTGAGGCCCCTGTTGAGTTAAAGGATGATTCTCAGAAATCTGATTAAACAGACTTGTTTGTAATGATGTTATAAGGATCTTGTGATGTTGAGATGTCTCAAAGAATGTATATATATGGGCAGTTGGCTGAGCAGTGGGGTAATGTAAGGCAACTGCTTAGGTTACTGCTAATGGACTACTTTCTTTTTATGAGAAGTGTTTGGTGTGTGCTTTGTTGACTGAAAGAAAATCAACACACATCAGTATATCCTGGTTCAGAGGTGGTGTAATCCTCTTACATCCAGTCTCACCTTCTTCCAGATGGATTTTCACTAAAGTATTAATCCCAATACACTTAGTGTCAATCTAGCCTTTATAACAAAACAGCCTAGATTGAAGGTGTTTCACAAGGAGTACACACCACTCTAGGGTACTCAATCCTTAGGTTTTCTCAATTGATTCAGTGGGAATCAAAAGGTACTCTATCTTATCCAACCACACTTAGAACTTGATAACAAAGTCCTTCCAAGTGTTTACAACAATTTATGATATACACAAATGAATTGGCCACCAACTATGATCTAAACTTCCAGGATGTAGCAATGAAAAGTTCTAACTTGGAAGTTTAGCGAAGCATGAGTCTAAGCAGAGAGCAAAGTTAAACAGGCACTTTCTCTTTTATTTGCTAGATATCTCTTAGATGCTTTAGTGATATTTTCTCTACTTAGAACACTCAAAAACTTACTTTAGAACTCATAGTTCGTCCTATATTTATAGGCTTCTCCAGTTGATTAATCCCATCCGTTGGTTGAGCTGAAATAATCTTTGATGTTGAATTCTGGCAAAGACGTGTTATTGTTCGCCTTCTTGTGCTGGAGCAGATATTGGTGATATCCTTTATCTTCACTGATGAGCCGCTGAAAGATCACATCAGGATCAATTTAATGATTTCATTGTGTGCGTCCCATGCTCTAGGCCCCATGAACGTTTTACCATTAAATGCCTATCAAATTTTGTCTTCAATCATACACATGCAATGTATATGAACAATTTTGTGGCAAGATTAATTTTTGTGTCAAATAAATTTATACTGGTAGGATTTGAATATCCTTTTAAGGTAAATAAAATATACCTTATTGCATTTTTATATTCCAGCAAAATTTATTTGTTACAAAAATTGTACATTTGATTTTTGTGAAGACGTTCATCCTTTGATGAAGCACGGCGTTGGCACCTGCCTGAAGATGAAGGACGGCGTTTGGAGACGTTCGTCTCTTGATGACGACGGCACTGATGTAGCTATTCGTCATATAAAGTACCAATCTTTGATGATGTCCTTAAGATGAAGGATGGCATTGGGGACGTTCGTCCCCAGATGACGACAACGCTGATGAAGCCGTTTGTCATATAAAGGACCAAGCTCTGTCTAAGGTTTAAGGATCACGTTGGGGATGTTCGTCCCCTGATGACTATGGCGTTGATGAAACCGTTTGTCATATAAAGGACCAAGCTCTGAAGTTCGTCTGAAGTTGATGGTGCTGGGGACGTTCGTCCCCAGATGACGACGGTGATGATGAACCCGTTCGTCATTTAAAGGACCAAGCTTTGAAGCTGGTCTGAAGTTGATGGTGCCGGGGACGTTCGTCCCCAGATAACGACGGTGCTGATGAATCCGTTCGTCATTTAAAGGACCAAGCTTTGAAGTTGATCTAAAGTTGATAGTTCTAGGGACGTTCGTCCCCAGATGACGACGGTGCTGATGAATCCGTTCGTCATTTAAAGGACCAAGCTTTGAAGTTGGTTTGAAGTTGATGACGTTGGGGACGTTCGTCCTTTGATGACGAACTGGGCATTGGCGCCCACCTGAAGATGGACGGAGTTGGACGCTCGTCCCCTGATGATGGACGGTGTTGGACGCTCGTCCCCTGATGATGATGGACGGCGTTGAGGACGCTCATCCTTTGTTACTTTGATCAACTTTGGGCAGCGTCACCCGGAGTTAGTAGAACATAATGTACAAGAGCAAAGTATAGTGGCATCATCAAAATCTATGAAAATTGGGTACTAACACTGTGTATTTTTTTTTGTTTTTCATCATGGTATATCCACTATTTTGTTTTTAATCGATCTTTAACTTAGAAACTACTATTTAAGCTGAGATGTCCAATTTTAGTAACTTTTTCATCATAATTAATATATGTACAATGTTGTGATGTAGGGAATGTGATTGACATTGTTGATAAAAATTAACTAAAACGTAGAAGACCATGGAAAGAAATAAAGATAACTAAATGTCATTGACTTGATTTATTAGTATTTTTTATACGGCGTATACATTGTACACATTATTGCATAAGAAATGCTCTTAAAAACCTTCCTCAATTCATCCCAAAGTAACTTTCCGGCGACTTTTCCAATGGCGGTTCCCGGTAGCGGCTTGGCATGTGGGGGGAGGTTAGGGCAGAGGTAAGATATGGGGATGTTTGGATTTGCTTCCTAAAACTGCTTCTGCCCCTTCAGGGAGCAGAAACAGATATTGAAGTGTTTGGGTGAAAGTGCAGAAGTACTTTTGGGTGTTCCAAATTACTCATAAAAGCAGTTTTTTAGAAGCTGGGGAGGCCAACTTCTGAAAAATTGATTATGATTCTGTTTATGCTTTTTTGTACTTTGTATTTCACAAAGTTATATGTAGTAGTTAAATATTTATGTCATTTTCCCAAAGTAGATTGAAGTAGAAATTGGAGGATGAAAAATAAGACGTTTGTTTTCAAAATGAAAGTGAAGCAAATATCAATAGAAATAATGGCCTAATATTACTACTAGAGTTTTAGTTGACAAAAATATGACTCGTTTTCCAATGGACAGAAAAGTGACAAACATCCAGCCCGCCCTCTTTCTTCACACACAACCCAGTCCGTCTCTTCCCATGTGGCGCTCTTCTTCGCACCGCATGCATCAAAAGCTCTTTCTAACCAACGAACACGGACAGAGAGGCTAGCCATCGATCTCCATCGCAGATCACCTTCCAGCGCCGCAACCAGCTCTGTCGCTGCCGATATCTCTCCTTCTCCTTTCTTTTTGTACACGAAATCTCGTTACCGACTTCAATGGAGCTCGTCTTCGTTGAAGGTC